ACACATGAACACCACCATCTCCATGGCCTGCAGATGTTAACTATTGCTTTCATTCGAGGCTAACTATCACTTGATTGTCCTATCCTCTTCATGTCTTTTTTTGCATGCATTCATTATCTTGTAAATTGCCATGTACCTATTTACTAACATGATTCCTTTTCCTCTTGTTCACATTCACATAGTGTATGATTCTACACTGGTATCACTACCCACACTGTGGTGCCAGGACTGCTCTGTGTAGGGTGTCATCTCCATCCTTCATCTTTTGTTCTCGGTGGTGGTGAGGTCTTTCCATTTTTTTTGCCATTTTATATGCCGGTTTATATATCCTGCAATAAATAATGTTCATTTTGTTTTTTCATGCAAGCCGCAGTTCGTCCTCATAGGAATCCCTGACTGTAGGGATCTCTTTCCCTTGGTCCCCCTCCTTTTTTCCTTCTGTGCCATTATAGGTTCTGAGGACACCACATTATTTACTGAAGGTGAGTTGGCTACGTTCTAATGTTGTAATTGAGGGGCTACTCTGATTGGTACCCCCCCCTAGATTATTTATTTTCAGCCTAGGGCATTCCGTTTTTTTATCCTGTTATGGTATTGTCCTTTGCCCCTGCATAGCAGAGACTTCTCACTCCCTTCAAATCGCTCCAACCCCCCCCCCCCCCCCCCCCACTGTATTGTATTGTTTGTTCTCAGCCCCTTCCACTCCCCTCTTCTCCCATAGCAGTGTCCTCTGCCCCCTTCACTTCACCCACCGTAGTGTCCTTTGGCACCCTCCCCACGGTTTTGTCCTCTGCCCCCCATCAACACCCCCTCCGTATTGTCCTTTGCCCCTCTACATCCCCCACTGTAGCATCCTCCACCCCACCCCCCCATATCAGTGTCCTTTGTACCCTATCAACACCCCCCACCGTATTGTCTTCTGCCTCTTTCCATCTTCCACTGTAGTACCCTCTTCCCCCATAGCAATGTCCTTTGCACCCTATCAACACCCCCACCATATTGTCCTCTACCTCTTTCCATCTTCCACTGTAGTGTCCTCTGGTCTCCCCATAGCAGTGTCCTTTGCACCCTATCAACACCCCCACCATATTGTCCTCTGCCTCTTTCCATCTCCCACTGTAGTATCCTTTGGCCTCCCCATAGCAATGTCCTTTGCACCTCATCAAGACCCCCCACTGTATTGTCCTCTGCCTCTTGCCCCTGTTGTAGTGTCTTTTGCACCCCCCAATCACCCCCAGTGCAGTTTCTTTTACCACCCCCCTCCCCCGCAGTGTCCTTTGTCTCCTTCACATACACACAGCAGGGTGTGGGTAGCACTTTCCTACCATACAGCATGTGTACATCAGAGCGGAAAGTAGGAGGCAGCACAGTCCTGGATGAAGAGGGGGGGAGTGAGAGCGGCCAGAGTTAACTTTTCATGAACAAGCTGGTGATTGGCTGCTAAGACCACCCAGCATCCTAGCAACCAATTACCTGTGTTAACTTGAAGGTTATCTGAGGCAGCTCCCGCCCTCCATTCAGTACTGCGCTGCCTCCCGCCCTCCACGCTGCAGTGAAGATGAGAGCACTGGAGGCAGAGGGGTTAGCAAAGCAGGGGCGTGCTTGACATCTACCTGCGGTCGATGGGTAGATTACGATCCCCAGTTTCTATAGTGCTGACAGCTGGAACATTTATTAGTGAAAGTAAGTTTGTTTTAGGCCAAGCTGATCCAAACAAACTATTACAACTGTCATTATGATTCAAATTTTAAAATCCTAACACCACCTGGTTGTACGATACAATTATATAACATTACTTTATAAAATTTATATTACTGTATCCTATTAGTTATAATCTGCCATAGGGAGAAAGATCACTGGCACAGGGCTGCACACTGCTGGTAATCCACCCTGTACAGTAACCTCTTATCCAAAGATCAATGATCCAGCTGTCAGAATACTAGAGCTGCAGCAAGAGATTCCTCCATCAGAATACAGCTGAATAAAAAAAATAATGTGTGTTACATAATTAGTCTGGCTGAAAAAAGACAAAAGTCTTCAACCATAAAGAAAAAAGTTATAATCTTACACCCATAGTTTATCCAAAGGAAGGCAAAACCCAGCAAAGCATGAACCAATTTGCTCCTGCAGGGATAAAAAAAATTCCTTCCTGATCCCCCGAGAGGCAATCGGATATTCCCTGGATCACCTTTACCTATAAATGTTATATCCAGTTATATTCTGTGTATCCAAGAAAGAATCCAGGACTTTCCTACAGCAATCCACTGAGCTGGCCACAACCAACTCTTGAGGGAGTCTATTCCACATTCTCACAGCTCTCACTGTGAAGAAACCTTTCCGTTAGGAGATTACATTTCTTTTCCTCCAGATGTAAAGAGCGCCCCCTTGTCCTCTGTGATGACCTCAGGGGGAATAACGCCACACCGAGTTCACTATATGAACCACCGATGTGGCCGCCACACCGAGTTCACTATATGAACCACCGATGTGGCCGCCACACCGAGTTCACTATATGAACCACCGATGTGGCCGCCACACCGAGTTCACTATATGAACCACCGATGTGGCCGCCACACCGAGTTCACTATATGAACCACCGATGTGGGCCGCCACACCGAGTTCACTATATGAACCACCGATGTGGCCGCCACACCGAGTTCACTATATGAACCACCGATGTGGCCGCCACACCGCGTTCACTATATGAACCACCGATGTGGCCGCCACACCGCGTTCACTATATGAACCACCGATGTGGCCGCCACACCGCGTTCACTATATGAACCACCGATGTGGCCGCCACACCGCGTTCACTATATGAACCACCGATGTGGCCGCCACACCGCGTTCACTATATGAACCACCGATGTGGCCGCCACACCGCGTTCACTATATGAACCACCGATGTGGCCGCCACACACCGAGTTCACTATATGAACCACCGATGTGGCCGCCACACCGAGTTCACTATATGAACCACCGATGTGGCCGCCACACCGAGTTCACTATATGAACCACCGATGTGGCCGCCACACAGAGTTCACTATATGAACCACCGATGTGGCCGCCACACAGAGTTCACTATATGAACCACCGATGTGGCCGCCACACAGAGTTCACTATATGAACCACCGATGTGGCCGCCACACAGAGTTCACTATATGAACCACCGATGTGGCCGCCACACAGAGTTCACTATATGAACCACCGATGTGGCCGCCACACAGAGTTCACTATATGAACCACCGATGTGGCCGCCACACAGAGTTCACTATATGAACCACCGATGTGGCCGCCACACAGAGTTCACTATATGAACCACCGATGTGGCCGCCACACAGAGTTCACTATATGAACCACCGATGTGGCCGCCACACCGAGTTCACTATATGAACCACCGATGTGGCCGCCACACCGAGTTCACTATATGAACCACCGATGTGGCCGCCACACCGAGTTCACTATATGAACCACCGATGTGGCCGCCACACCGAGTTCACTATATGAACCACCGATGTGGCCGCCACACCGAGTTCACTATATGAACCACCGATGTGGCCGCCACACAGAGTTCACTATATGAACCACCGATGTGGCCGCCACACAGAGTTCACTATATGAACCACTGATGTGGCCGCCACACAGAGTTCACTATATGAACCACTGATGTGGCCGCCACACAGAGTTCACTATATGAACCACTGATGTGGCCGCCACACAGAGTTCACTATATGAACCACTGATGTGGCCGCCACACAGAGTTCACTATATGAACCACTGATGTGGCCGCCACACAGAGTTCACTATATGAACCACTGATTAGGCCGCCACCTCCAGTCCTGGAGCCCCTCCTAGTATAGGCCGCCACCTCCAGTCCTGGAGCCCCTCCTAGTATAGGCCGCCACCTCCAGTCCTGGAGCCCCTCCTAGTATAGGCCGCCACCTCCAGTCCTGGAGCCCCTCCTAGTATAGGCCGCCACCTCCAGTCCTGGAGCCCCTCCTAGTATAGGCCGCCACCTCCAGTCCTGGAGCCCCTCCTAGTATAGGCCGCCACCTCCAGTCCTGGAGCCCCTCCTAGTATAGGCCGCCACCTCCAGTCCTGGAGCCCCTCCTAGTATAGGCCGCCACCTCCAGTCCTGGAGCCCCTCCTAGTATAGGCCGCCACCTCCAGTCCTGGAGCCCCTCCTAGTATAGGCCGACATTAGAATGTTAGGCACTGGTATAGTATATCAGCACAGAGTGCAGGAACTCATGGCCCACCCAGTGAGTGCCCTGTATGTGATCTCACCTGAGCTACGTTGAGCAGTCTGGCTTGCCCCTCCTGCATAGCAGGCAGGTGCCAATTAGACCTGTCAGTGTGGCATGGATGCTTTCCATGTGGTGAAAGACATGGACCTGTCACAGTGTGGCTGAGGGGGGGTTGGGGTGCAAGAAAGTGAACAGCCCCAGACTCCCAGCACAGCACACAGCAGCACCCCCTTAAAGTGAAGCTGTGTGAGAGGCAAAGGATAGATCACACCACCATGACAGGGCTGCAGGACTAGAGTAGCAGCCTCAGCAAATGCGGCTGAGCACTCCTACAGCCAGAAGCCTGCACAGCCCTGCCGATGTCTTATGATGGAAGTGGCTTCCAGTAATATACTGTTGGCAACCCTGGGCAGCATGGGCTCAAGTGGCAGCTGCTTTGGGTCCCCCAACAGTAATTGCACCCAAGGGAGCTGTCCCTTTTGCCCTGCCTTAAAGACAGCCCTGCCCTTGGCAACCTCATTGAGAATAACTGATTTAGACTGTTCTTTGTGAATATTTCCTAAGGCAGTTTGGCTGCAGGGGGGCCTCAAGTCAGTTTCTGCTTTGAAGCCAGTCCTGGAAAAATCAAAAACCATGACAGATAAGCAATGACCGTTGGATAACACGAGTGAATAGGAAGACGCACAGGCTTAGATTTTTTGTACCATGGCTTTTATTACATGTGAGCTTCTCCAGCTACAATTCGAGACCAAATTAGAGACCAAAAACTGCAACATCCACCGATGACTTCAAATACTCGTTCCCGGCTTTGACCACCTCTGCCAGAGAGGAACCTGAGAAGACAAAAAGGGTTTTCCCCTCAGATTACAGAAGGTAATTTAGAAACAGACAGTCACTAAACCAAATCTGTCTTCTTTATACATGAACATGCTGTCTAAAAGTACATCAAAACCCAAATTGGGTGGCAGATTGCCCTGTATTCATTTTTCCAATAATTTTTTTTTTCCCCCACACAAGATCACTCCAGCATTGGCTGTACATGGATTGATCTCCTGATAAAGCCAGCTGCAGATTGAGAAATTCTTTCCACTCCTCACCGACTGTTGATGGGGGAATGCCTCCCACTGAGCTATTGTATGGTGGTAAAAAAAGGGGGCTATGGGGAGCTGTCCTTAACAGGAGAACTCAGTGATTATGGCTATTGGCTATAATTGTTGGGTACAACCAGCATGTCAGATTTTTCATGTGATTACCATGTTGATCGATCAACTCTGGTACAATCAGCCTGACCATACATGGTTTAAATCTTGGCCAGGTCAGCAGGGACGGTATGACTAGCTTTAGTTAAAGATGGGTCATGCCTGAGTAATGTGTTGACACCGCAGCCTATAGTCTCCAACAGGAATGCATGTGACCGACAATAGGAAAAAAATTGGGATTTCAATAAAAGCTACAAAAATGTAAACACATTAAATATTTGTCTTGTATGAGATTTTAGTTTTAGACCTAGAATTTAAGTTTAGACCCAACTTAATGCCATTTCCCAACAGCACATGCTTTCCTTTTTGCTTTCACACCACTCAAAGCAAAAAAAAAAAAAAAAAATTATCCTGTATTTTCAGGTAAGGGCAACATGTGTCCAAGCTGGTGCTCGATTGAGCCAATACAGTCACATGGAGCACTGCTGTGTGTAAGCTCTAACAGGAGTGGCTCAGACAGCTTCCTTTCTTTGCCAACAACTTGTACAGAGCTGCAAAGTGAAGGAACTGTCTTGGTTTAGGTGAACCTTTCACAGTAATCTGAGTATAGCAATTTTTCATCATCTAAAATATACCTAAATACATAGTGAAAATATACAGGAATGGTGTCAGCTTAAAGGTTTATAAAGCACTGCCCTTGCTTTAATTTGGAACGGGTGACACCAAGTCATGGAAAATGGTATATAGTCCATGTTCTTTAAAAAAAAAAAAAAAAAAGGCAAATAAAGTGCACAATATAGAAAGTGGTGGCTAGCAGGGCCATGCATATTGTTGGGGACCATACAAATTGTCATGCTTGGATTCTCTGCTCAGTTCCTCAGCCCATGGGTATACAGCCAGGGGGTCCCTCAGCCTACTCCCTGTCCCCACTAACAGTGCTGCCAGTCTCCTCCATTGTCCCCACAGGAAGGCTGTAGTCCAGCCTTCCAGGGTCTGTACTGGAAACAGTTTTCTTTAAGACAAAGGAAGTGTTTCTAGAGTCCAAAATGGGACCAGCGGTTTTCAGAGATGTGGAATGTACCTCAGAAGGGTCCAGACAATTTTCTTTTGCATCACAATATGCGCTGTAGAATGTCTGCCACCATTGCAAGGTCATCAGTGCTCCTCTGCATTGGACAAATGTAGCTGCACTGGAAGACCTCTGTAGCAAGGGAGTTTCTGCACAAATGGGCACAGTTTGCTTGGACTACCAACTGCATTGTATGAAGTGGTTTATATTTAAGGTAATATTGCAGTGACAGGTCTGGTGGGCTGAGCCACAATCTGGCTTAAGATCTCCATAGAACAATGTCAGGCCTTGTACATCATACAATGACAATTTAGACAACTGTGCTCTTTCAAACTTTTGGAAAGTCTGGAAAAAGCCTCCTGTTCCAGCATGACTGTGCCCCTGTGCACAAAGTAGGCTCCATAAAGACATGGTTTAACCAGTTCGTGTAGGCCACGCACGTTCCTCCACACCAGAGCACTGAGCTCCACCCTACTGAACAGAGCCATGACCTCAACCACATCAACTTTTGGGATGAATTGAAAGGTCAATTGTCTTCAATTGGTCTTCCCTGTCTCACATCCTACTCAGTTCCCACTGTGGTCATCTTACCTGCACTGGCCTTGACCCAGGAGACAGCTTTTCCCTCCAGCAGCTCCCACTCATCCCTATGATCCAGACAAGAGGAATGAAGCCAGATCACCGCTAGGACCGTTGCCCACACTGGCCTCTCCACATTCTGCAAAAAGTGAAAGATTCTTAAAAACACTGGATGGCAATTTGACCTAAAATATACACAGAAAAAAAATTCAGTAGGACAACTTTATGTGGATTGTTGTAACTTATGTTGCTAGTTTTGGTTTTAAGTTACCTCTTGCTGGAATAGAGTCCTCTAGACTGGCAAGGATTTACCCCACTTTATCTTGTTCATGTTGGAGAGCCTGTGACCATCATGGTACCTTCCTGTATATATGGTGGGAGTGTCCCAAGATAAGACCTTATCTTGGGACACTTAAGATGTGGTGAAGACCACTTGCTGAAGCTCAAACCGAGCTTTAGAAAGGGAGAAAGAGGGATTTAACTGACTGAAAATGGCATGGTTAGAAACAGAAGTTACGGCAGAAAGCCAGAGTGGTCCACAGAGTCTGCCTTTGTGGGGTTTTTTGAAGCCATTTACTGTTGACTGGCTCACTATCTCTGCTGGAAGTTTATTCCAAGCATAAAACTACTCTAGTACTTTAAGATTAGTTTTGAACTTTCCTTAAGATTAGTTTTGAACTTTCCTTAAGATTAGTTTTGAACTTTCCTTAAGATTAGTTTTGAGGACATGTCCCCCGTGTTCCTGAGTTTGGTTTCGTATAAAATACTGCCCTCCTGAACCTTATTCACCCCCTTGGATTTATTTAAAAGTTTCAATCAAGTCTCCTTATTCCCTTCTTTCCTCTAGACTGTACATGTTAGTTTCCTGAAGTGGTTCTTGATATGTTTTATCCCCCAGATCTTTCACCATTTGTTACCTGTGACTCATTCTATCTTATCAATATTTTTGTAAGGGAGGTCTCCAGAATAGGACAAAATTCTAAATTAGGTCTAAAGATCTATATTGGGGAATCAGGACTCCTTTCCTCCTGCTGGTGACCCCTCTAGTGATCTGATCTATATAGAGGAATCAGGACCATCCTAGAATTCTATCCGCTTCCCCCACTGCTTTCCAATTTGCTTGCCAACAATGTACCCGCAATGTTGTACTCAAGGGATTTTTTTTTTTTTTTTTTTTTTTTTTTTTTTACACATAGAAAAATTGAACTGCAATTTCCACTTTTGACCAATCTTTCAGCAATACCAAATTATGTTTGTTTCAGGGATATCAACCCCATTGCACACCTTTGTGTCATCAGGAAAAAACAAAAAAGCCTTTAATTATATTATTTAGATTAAATAGAACAGGACCTAGTACAGAGCCTTATGGTACACCACTAGTGACTGGTCTGTCCCAAGTGAACCCATTTACAACCAAACTCTGGTATCTATCCTTTAGCCAGCTGCATATCCACTGAACCAACCAAGGATTAAGTCCTAGCTCATACAATTTTTGTATTAGATTATGTGGGACTGTATCAAATGCCTTGCTGAAATCAATATATGTCCACAGCACCACCCTTGTCCAAAAACATTGGCAAGTTTACAGAGAATGGTCTGAAAGAAATATTCAGTGTGTGGCAGTTGTGCGCATGAAAATGCCAGAGGAGAATGGGCAGACTGGTTGCTACAACATTCCGATGGTAGGGTCATAATTTGGTGTAAGCATGGGTCCATCCTGCCTTGTATCAGTGGTTCAGGCTGGTGGTGGTGGTGTCATGGTGTGGGGGATCCATCCTGCCTTGGATCAATGGTTCAGGCTGGTGGTGATGTAATGGTGTGGGGGAGATTTTCTTGGCACTAGCCAGGTGTACCTAAAAGTGGTTGGTGAGTATTTAGGATGTATCCAGTCTATGAACTAGAGGCTCTGGATGAAGTTGGATAAATGGCTCCATGTTTAAGGAGGCATCTGGTCCTAAACCAGAGGCTCTGGTTGTACAGTTGGACAAATGGCTCCATATTTAGGAGGTATCTTGTCCATAAACCAGAGGCTGTGGATGGAGTTGGATAAATGGCTCTATATTTAGGAGGGATCCGGTCTATAAACCAGAGGCTCTGGATGGACACTTGGGATAAAAGGTTCTATATTTAGGATGTATCCAGTCTATAAACCAGAGGCTCTGGATGGACAGTTAGATAAATGGCTATATGTAGGATGTATCCGGTCTATAAACCAGAGGCTCTGGGTGTACAGTTGGATAAATGGCTCTATATTTAGGAGGTATCCGGTCTAAGTCAACAATTCATAACTTCCTTTCACGGTATTGCCCTTGTGTTGCAGCATTTATACATTACCGAAACAGGACAATGCTCTGCAAAATTCTCAGGTATTTCCAATATGGCGGCAAATTCAGAGTTTGCTTCCCAGGAGCCGTCTGCTTTCTGGAGAGCGATTAGTCTGTACAGGGCAGGAGTCTCCACTGTCACAGGAGTCAACGGTTCTGTAGGAAATATGCAAGAATTAAAATGAGAACACTGGCGCTTTTCCAAGAAATTGTATAGCAGCTAAAAACATTAAAGAAGCTGATCTTATCCCTAGACAAGTTTCTTTACTTTTTATAAGTGTAGGAACATTTCCCCCCCCCCCCCCCCCCCCCCATCAGTCCTGGAAATGAGGATTCCTCCCCAAAGTGAAGGTAAACTAATGTTTGTCAAGTCATAGAACTGTTCTACAAACACCTGAAAGCCCAACTCTAAGTTCCCCCTAGCCATTCCTAATGTCAACCAGCACCTATTTTCTGGCTATTTTTTTTACCTGCAAAAAACACATTTTGGGTTGGTTTACACCAGAATCGCACAGGAAAGTGACACATTCCCATGTGGTATGATTTCACATTCATTTGAGCAAGCTTCATAAAAGTACATGCACTACTTTTTACAAAAATAAAACCCAAACCAAATCATTGTACTGTGGTACCATCAGTTTGGGGTCCACAAATGCACTATTTAGGGTTCCATTAATACATTGGCACCTGCATGCAGATCGCAAGGACAGTGCGTTTGAGTGTTCTGGTGTGAACGGGCCCTTAGAACTGAGACAGCGCTGCTACCTCCCTCTCCCTTATGTGGTGTTCACCGGTGCTCAAGCTCTTGGCTGCCTAAAGAACCATAGAACCTAGATCTTGAAGAAATGCCAGTACTTTGTGTAACTTATACATCCTATATAAAAAGGGCCATCTGCTTTTGGATTCTACCAGAGGGCCAATGAGTTTCAGCCTTTACGCCTTAGTCACAAGCAAGGCCTAACAGCCGAAACGCGTTGTCCCTCTGTAAATGTTATGAGTTTTGTGGATTCTACCGAAGCGCTGGCATTTCTTCGAGATCATGAGCTGGCCTTACAGATCAGGATTGCAGAAAGAAAGCCATCCTTCGTAGAGCATTTGATGTGTATTAAGGGCTGGTTCATGCCAGAACGCAATGAGGGAAAGGCACATTCCAAGCTTTTCTGCACCGCACTCAAATGCCCTGTCCTTGTGATCTGCATGCAGGTGCCAATGAACGTTAAATTGCACCCCAAACACATATTGCAAACGCAGTGCATTTGCGGGCATCAAGGCGCATAGTACTGAAGTACCATGCAGTTTGGTACGCTGTTTTTTTGTGCATGCACTTGCGCGCCTTCTGGAGCCATTTCCACACCATCTGGGAATTACATGGGAATGTTCCTCTGATTTTGGTGTGAACCAGCCCTAAACTGAAACACAAATCAAATCAATAACAGTATTAAAAAGTCTAGAAGCATGTTTTTTTTAGAAAATAGAGTTTGCTAGGAAACTACCAAACTGGACATCAGATGTGCCAGGGAGCATGGGCTTGCAAAAGAGCAAGAAACCATGAAGAAATGGTGTGGGGTCAAGTGTCGGAAGTGTACTCAGCTGCACAAGGCTGGAGGTGCGAGAAGGAGCAGTGCACCAGGGAATCAGGGTTCCATTAGGGATGAGTTAAAGTTTGGCGGAAGGAGACGAGCAATCTAGGGACACCATGACTTTACTCGTGCACATTAACCAGATCCTATTTTATATAAAAATTTAGGGCAAGCATCTTACATTCATGGGATGTCACAGGTCCTTCCTCTTGTCTGGTTGCAGTGGTGGTGGACATAGCTCCCAACTGTCCCTTATTTGTAATCAAGTCCCCCTGTCCCTCTTTCCTTCATTTGCCCTCATTTTGGTCTGATCTATATTGTTGTATATTAAACGTACTTTAGACATTTCAAAAAAGTATTTGCCAGTGGTAAACTTCTCCTTCAATTTCTAAATGTCTGTATTTGTAAAATTTCAAAAGCCAAAAAAAAAAAAAAAAAAAAGTAGTAAAACCCCACAACCCCCCCCCCCCCCCCCCCCCATCTTTCTTCTGGGACCCAGGTCCTTGTGATAAGGTCAGGGATTGGGAAGGAGAACGCTTGCATGGCCTCTCCCTTCTGAAAAGTAACCACCTAGTGGTGCCAGAGGATTCACTTGGGTCTCCAGTAGGAGTCACTGGTACAAAGTCAACAGTTGCCAACCAGGGCAGACCTTCTTGCCAACTCCTGAAGAATGTACACTCACAGGCAGGGGCGGACTGACAACTCATGGGGCCCTGGGCAATAGGGGATCATGGGGCCCCTGTGTCCTTTCCAAACTCAAAAAACCTATGAAAAAAAAAAAAAAAAAAAAGTGTACCAGGGGCATCTCATGGGGCCCCCTACTGACCCCGGGCCCTCAGGCAGTACCCGAGTTTCCAAATGGTCAGTCTGCCCCTGCTCACAGGCCACTCTTGGGTACACCTTTTCAATTGCTTTGTAACAATTGCTAATCAGCCAATCACATGGCAGCAACTCAATGCCTTTAGGCATCTAGGTGTGGTGAAGACGACTTCCTGAAGTTCAAATAAAGAATCAGTATGGGGAAGAAAGGGAATTTAAGTGATTTTGAATGTGGCATGGTTATTGGTGCCAGACAGGCTGGTCTGAGCATTTGAAAAACTGCTGATTTCCTGTGATTTTCATGCACAACCATCTAAGGTTTACAGAGAATGGCCTGAAAAAGAATATCAAGTGGCAGTTGTGTGGACCAAAATGCCTTGTTGATGTCAGGAGAATGGGCAGACTGGTTCAACATGATAAAAAAACAGCAACTCAGATAACCCACTGGTTACAACCAAGGTTTGCAGAATACCATCTCTGAACTCCCAACAAATCTAACCTTGAAGTGGATGGGCTACAGCAGCAGAAGACTACACAGGGTGCCACTCCTGTCAGCCAAGAACAGGAAGTTGAGGCTACAATTCGCACAGGCTCACCAAAATTGGCCAATAGATTGGAAAACAGTTGCCTGGTCTGATGAGTCAACTTCAGCTGCGACATTCAGATGGGTCAGAATTTGGCACATACATGAAGGCATGGATCCATCCTGCCTTGTATCAGTTGGATGGGCAGCCAACAAATTTGCAGCAACTATGTGATGCTATCATGTTAGTATGGACCAGAATCTGAGGAATGTTTCCAATGCCTTGTTGAATCCATGCCAAGAAGAATTAAAGGGTCCAACCCGGTACTAGCATGGTGTACTTCATAAAGTGACCAGCGAGTTGTCAGGGCTGTGCAACGGACAGGTAGGCCTAGTGGCAGGGTAATGCACTGACTGACAACCACCACCAACAGACCGAAGTCCCTCAGGGCGCGGAGTCTAAGTCCCAGGCTGCCCTTCACCAGGGCCCCTGATGGTGGGGGTGGACTTGACGCAGCCAGGAACCAGGTCACTGCCCCCGAGACACCCCGGCTGTGGTAATGGCCACCGCAAATGGTGTGTAGCTGGTAAGAATGACAATAGCGTAGTCAGGCAGGGTCGACAACGGGACAAAAACGGCACAGAACAGTAGACAAGAATCACAGGTCATGGGCCGGGTTCAGCAACGGAAGGTCAGATCAAAGGAAAAAAATTAAAAGAAAAAACCAAAAGAAAAAAACAAAAACACAAAAAAACACAGAATGGTCCAGTCACAAGCAGAGTCAGATACCAGAAGAGTCACGAGAGTATACACAGAGCTGTAGCAACACAAAGACACAAGTGCAAAGAGCATGTGCGGATCACAGGCTTATATGTACTCAGCCACACCCCTCTGGGGGATGGCCCTCAGAGACCTGAAGGCATAAAAGACTCCCACCATGATCTGCATAAACCCAAGATGGACACCAGCACATGAAGCCGCAGTCTCTGGGAAAAGGTAGGACCTTGACATGAGTGTCCTGTATATCATGGTCTCCCACTTGGCACATATTGTCATTACCTATTTTCCAGCAAGTACTTTTCATTAAACAGAAAGATCAGTTACAGGTGCTTTGGTCCCCAACCCAAATCTGAGGGGGCAATTCATGGCTTTTGGGTTGGTGTCCCCCCCCCCCCCCTCCCTAAGACTTTCAGATAAGGGATCCCTAACCACATCACAAAACAGACACTACTGTGGCAGGTTGGCTCATGAGCAGCCATTATAAAAACACAGGAGGAGTGTTGTGTATATTCGATTACCTTGTGGGACTCCATTTGATAGAGATAGAGCAGCTAGGTCTGGCCCAAGTGTGGCATCTGGAAGATTAGACATGGTTAAAGTCCTCCTGCATGAAGACTGCACACAAATTATAAGCGGTAAAGCCGATACAAAAATGGACTATCCACACAAAGCCCACCAACCAAAATATTTTCTCTGCCAAAGCCTGTTCCCCAGGACTTCATATAGTATTGCAGATAGAAGAGGGTGCATTTACATCCATGTGCTCTCATTTAGGGGTGCATTTACCATATTATAGGTGTCAGAGCTCCGAGTATCTTAAAGGACTCAGCTGTAGTAAATGTGGAGCAGACGAGAGCTGGGAGCCAATTGTCAAAGACCTAGTCCTGGCCCATTCAATCTAGCTGTCAATTGACACAGTGAATGTGTTTACTTGGCTGGAAGTTGAACAAGAACCCCAGAATTGGTCTTGAACAGCAGCCCCTTTGTGATGGTCTACCTTTGTGTCCTCTATCCTATGCATGGGAATTAGTTATTGTGCATGCAATTTGTGGGAAAAACCCATTCATTTTTAAGAGGCCCTCAACATGCCCACCCATCTAAAAAGCACAATGACCCCAATGCAATACATACCCCCATCGACCCCATCATAAACTGTGCAGTGTCAATACTGCTCTTTCTACAGCACATGAGCCCCTAAAGGGTCAATGTTAAAAGTGGTAATAGGGCCCAAACACTAATGGGTAAAAATATTCCAGTACTTTGTGGGTTTCCCTGGGATTTGAACCTCATTGGGCTAAAGCTATATATTGTAGTGGCCCTAATGCACTAGTGACCAAGTGAAGTAGAGTTCAATCACTAAACAGGTGGCAGGTTAGCTTCTCTAGTGCTCAGATGGATGGCTGGGTCAGTGTTCCCTATAGCACTATGAAATAGGTGAGCTATATAAATGAACATCACCAACACCCCCCGAAAATAAAAACCACCACCAGCTCCTTGGGTGCAGAGACTGCCGTGACCGCTCTATAACAGTTCTGAACATATTGGCGGTATATGCTCATACAAGTCACCTTTTGACTGATATGGATTGTCTATGTTGAACTCACCGGCCAGTTCATAGATGGGATCCGGAGCCATCATTCGTAAAGGGGCAGCGTAGCAATATACCGGTTGAGGTAAAATGTTACAGGCCATGGCTGTAAACACAAAGAATATTCATTAGGAAACAAGTGATGGACACCACCATGGCACGGCTGTAAAGCAAACATTAAATTGCACAGGAAAAACAATGTACATTCACATTGGTTTCACAACTTACCAATGGGAGGCATGAACCTCTGCACAGGAGGACCCTCCACACGGGTCTTTGTGTCCTTGTTGACGGCTACATAAGATGTGAGAGAGGAGACAACACCAGACTGCAGACTGATCTCCAAGATCTTCTTCTTCACCTCTTCAGACTCCTCTTCAGATTCCAGGAAGGAAATTAGATTTTTGGCAGCCAGTCTATGGATGGTTGGCCTGAGAACCAAGAGGGGACACGAGAGCAAAGGCTGAACCTCTTACCATGCAGCCATCCCTTAAACAGGGTCCTTCCATCCAGGGTATAGGAAGAACTGCCTGATCACCTTTTCACACAAGATGTGAAAATGGGTATGACCACCCCTTAAGACTGAAAATTCTCTGCCCTATATTGGCATACTTTCTGTCCTTTCACTTCCTGTTCCAATGACAACTGATTTCCTGTCTGGTAAAAGGATTGTCACTAGGACAGGAAGTAACTTACCGCCACATACAGAAAGGCTTCTTCACCGTAAGTTGTGAAAATGTGGACTCCCTCAAAATCTAGTTCTGGCCAGGTCAGTAGATTTAAAAAAAAAAAAAAAAAAAAAAAAAAAAAAAAAAAAAAAGCTGGATGCATACAAACCTACAAAATAACTGGATACTATTTTGGAGGTAACACCAGGGGTAGTTCACAACATCTCCAAGATATGCCCATTTTTTTAACTTCTGAAACTACCAAGCAACTTATTCACTCCTTGGTTATCCCTCTCCTTGAGAATTGTAACTCCCCCATTGGCTGACCTCATCACAGGCTATCCCCTCTTCAGTCTGTCATGAATGCTGCCAGACTCCACCTTACTAGCCATTTCAGATCTGCCAATCCCTCCACTCAGTGTCCTCCATCCCTCTCTGCCAATCCCTCCACTGGCCTCCATTCAGTGTCCTCCACCCCTCTCTGCCAATCCCTCCGCTGGCCTCCATTCAGTGTCCTCCACCCCTCTCTGCCAATCCCTCCACTGGCTTCCCATTGCCCAACGGATAAAATTCAAAACATTAACATAAAGCCATTTATGACTCTGCCCCAATATCACTCAAACCGTACTCTGCTCCTCGCACAACTTCCAGCTCTCCAGCTCCCTTGTCTCCTCCCATGCTAGTCTCCAGAGCCTCCCCTATCCTCTGGAACTCTCTACCCCAATTTATCAGACCATCGCCTACTCTGCTCATGTTTAGGTGATCTCTGAAAACCTCTTCAGGTAAGCCCATCATGCCCTCAGCTAAAAATTGAATCTTCTATTTCTCCTACCAGTCCATCCCCCACAGTTATTGCCTTTTGTACTCCCAGCCCCTCCCTCTTAAATTGTAAGCTCCAAGGAGCAGGGCCCTCCTATCTCTCTTGTATTGTTGCTGTATGGTCTCCCACTATATTGTATTGTTGCTGTATGGTCTCCCATTATATTGGAAAGCACTCAGCAAACTGTTGACGCCATATAAATCTTGTTAAATTGTTGATCCTGGGAACATCGGATTGCCTCCTGGGGGAATCAGGAAGGAATCCCTCCCTCCCCGTAGATCATGATTTACTGGGGTTTTGTGGTCTTCCTCTGGATCAACTGGTGGTAAAGGATTAGACTGTTTTGTACGAGTACAAAATATGAAAATTCTTTGTACATTCAATGGCTTGGCAAATGTAGCTCAAAATTTGCTAAAAATTTTGTTTGCTTTTAACATTCAATGCTGGAATGAAGTGGACCGATTGAAAACCACATGCGCTGTTTGAAATAAGAATTTTTATGACTTTTCCCTGTTCCGAACTCTCATCATTCGGAAATAAAAATTGTTTTGAGCCCAATAAGGATTAGAAAACTGAACCAATGTTCTTAAAACAAAAATTTCAATCACAATATTGCCAGTGTATGGCCAGGTTAATTATTGAACTATACAAGGGAAACAATGTTTTTTCTAGACAGAAGAGGGAAAAATTGAGGGTGAAGGGCAAATCTTTTAGAGAGCTCCAAATGGCAACACCCGACAGGGGTTCCAGTCATTCCCATTCCATCTAAAACCAAGAGGTAGTCTTGGCTTAACATCCACTTAAATTGCTCAGACATCCAAGTCATTATTCCCACAATATTAATTTCTGCCTTGTAAACTCACATCTTCTGTTGGCCCCCCCAAGCACAAGTGCCTAATTGAGGATTCCATCTCCATCCATGTCTCTGGATTACCTTTCTACGTTGCCCATCTTCAGAGGAAACTTCAGTTCATTGGTGACAATTTCATCTTTGTAGTTGTATTGTAGAGAGACCTGGACTTCCTTCTCTTCCAGCTGAAGACACAAAAAGGACTATGGTAAAGAAGGCTAAAGTCTTCTAAATGGAGATCTACTCCATTCTGTGCCACTATATTATTGGAACTTAAAGCTGAACTCTGGGCACCCCAAAAAAACAAAAAACAAAAAAAAAAAAAAAAAAACTTTACAGTATTCCTCCAAAAGCCACCATGGATGTATATTTAAAGTCAGTGTGTACCAAATGCTTTTGCAAACCCATGACCATATTTGATCAAGGACATTGCCTAAAACCAGTGGCCATATCTGAGCGGTGATGTCACTGTCATACCCATCCTTTTGCTTAAGAGAAGGGTATTCCTGGCGACAGTGATTTGTGTGTTCATGACATGCATGTTTCGGGAATCCTACACCCAGCAGTCACTTGCTTGATAAAATCACTGCCGCCATCACTACTGTCAGCCTTGTAACAGAAGGAAGGCACCCTCATCCCTACAGTCAACTATTGCGCCCAGGGCAGCCGCCCCCTCCCGCCCAACCCTTGTCCCAGTTTTGCCCACAACTTAGGAATTTTTGGCTCCCAACAAATGCATGCAAAGGTTTGGGTATTCATTTGAACACCAGAACATCCAAAGTTCAGCTGGGAAATTCCATTTAACCACTTGACCGAGATTTTTTTTTACCACCTTCATGACCAGGAAATTTTTTGCTATTCAGCACCGTGCAACTTTAACTGGTAATTGCTCAATCATGCAACACTGTACCCAAGTTAAAATGTATCTTTTTTTAAAGAGCTTTTTGGTGATTTGGACCACCACTTTATTATATAAATGCTAAACGAAAATTTTGAAAATATTTTCTGCTATAAAACATAAACATTTCTTCATCAATTTAGGTTAAAATGTATTTGGTAAGATGTCTGGTAAACAAAAAAAAAACCAATACGTGGATATTGATTGGTTTGTGTGAAGGTTATAGCACTAACACTTTTATAATAGCAATGGCCGTGACCTGCAACTTCTAGTGGGACCGAGTGCGGCAGGCAATCTCACACTAACTGAAGCTAGGTGGCACTGACAGACATCACCAGTGACACCAATACAGTGATAGGTGATAATACTGTACTAATGGCACTGGCTGGGAAGGGGGTCATCTAAGGGCAAAGGGGTTAACTGTAAATGTTTTTTTGCCTTTATTAAGCGATGTGATTGCAAAGTAGGGGAAAAAAAAACACAAAAAAAAAAACACAAAAAAACCAAACAAAAGAAAGAAATTGGTCTCATTGCTGATCTTCGTACAGAACTCAGTGTTCGTAAAACACAGGGCTTTGTACTGTCATTTGCTAAGCCAGCCAGTAGGCCCCAGCACAACTTTTTGGCTGGGACCTGCTGGCCAACTTTTGCTGTACCGAATATCAGCACAGATTGGGTGGTGGGGGAAAATTCATGCCTTCTACAGAGAAATGCTGGATCATGTACATTTATGGGATCCAGCACAGTGGGGTTGCCCTGCCACAGTAAAGGCAGGAGGCAGTCTAATGGTTAAAATGTGCAAAGCCCCTTCTATGTGCACCTTACTGTAAAGGCTAGTTATATACTGGAGTGGTTAATATATTTATCTAAAAAGTTCAGCCTAAACCCAAGTTTGACCAAACCATTGGCTCATGCCTACCCTTCACTGCTCAGGACTGGCATCCCCAGTAGTGACAGTGGTAAGCCATGCCCAGTCAATCAGCATGGTTGCTTGTAGTCCCTACCAAGTAGGTGAGGAAAACTCAGACTCACAACTAGAAAAGATGTTACCCCTTAAGGAAGTGCCTCACCAAGAACCTTCATGGCAAGATCAGGGATTTTAATACTTAAGATTGGAAACCTTTTGAAAAAAAGGTCAACATGTTGCAGCCCATATGGGATTTTATGAACTAGGTGTGATCCCCTTTTCACATTGAATTTGAAATCTTGAAAAATAGAATACTTAGTCACCTTTCCCTTGAACTGGACGTAGACAATGGATGCCTGACCCTGAAAGATGACAGTGGGGCCTGAGACACCAAATTCTGTTCCACCTCGGAGGAAGGGTCCAGTTTAAGGAAATTTCCTTTATGGTGGGTTGTAAGGCACATTTCAGAGCTTTCAGAACCTGGAAGGGAAAGGAGGCAGAGGTAAGCAGAGCAGGTATTTCCACACTGAAATCTATGGAAGCTAGTGTTAAGCATTTGGGTTGTGTAGTAAAACTAGCTAAAAAGGTGGTCACACATCAGAGGGTGGTTCGACTTTGGCACATGGTCTAACCAATGAAATTCCTCACCGATATACAAAAATGCATACTCATGGTTTCCAATTATTCATTATAGGGCTCATTAGATCACCATGCTGAGCTGCCAACGAGCAGGTTGTGCCATTTAAACAGAACAAAAATTATACCCAAATATGAATTGAACAAACCTGTGAATTTGTTTACAACCATCTCTAAATCAGCTTTTGTCAACCTTTTTAATCCAGGAACTCCATAGATGATCTGGTCTCTAGTAACCCCTGCTGAAAATTACCAAATCTCACTGTATATATTAGTCTGATTGTCAAGCAGAAGAATTGCACATTTGTCATCAATGGCAATAATTCCCCTCTTAGAAACAGCTAAAAATGTCAATGTTTCAGTGGCCAGAAATTGCCTCTTGCTTAACAGTTTCAATACCGTGCGATTTTACACCTTCCTGCCCAGGCCATTATTCAAAAGTGTGAGAGCGCTGAAACCTGAAAGACAATTGCGGTCATACAACATTGTACCCAAACTAAAATTTTATCATTCTTCACACAACTAGAGCTTTTTTGGTGGTATTTAATCACCGCTGGGGTTTTTATTTTTTGCTAAATTAACCAAACAAGAAAAAAATGTTGAAAAAACACACATTTTTGTTCTAAAAGTTTACAAATAAATAATTGTTCTTAAATTTAGGCCGAGATGTATTCTGCTACATGTCTTTGGTGAAAAAAAAAACAAAATTAGGATGTATTTAGTTTGTAGGAAAGTTATAGAGTTCACAAACTATGGTATAGATCTGAATATTGATCAATCCTGAAGTACTGACAGACAATCTAATTTCTTGAGGTCCAAGAATGTCAGGACAGTACAGATATCCCCCAAATGTCAGGACAGTACAGATATCCCCCAAATGTCAGGACTAGAGATGAGCGAAGTATTCAAAAATTCGATTCGACTGATTCGGCGAATTCGTGGAAAATATTCGATTCGAGTCGAATATATTCGCTGTGAATTTAACTTAAAAAAGGGTGTTTTCTAGGCTTCAGAGAGACTTAATATTAGTGCAGAACACTGTACCTTTAATTTAAATGCCCTTGGAGTCTGCTGGGGAAGAGAAATAATACTGTCAGTCAGTATGACATGCAGATGAGTGCCGTCGATCTTAGAATCACCGCACACTTCACTCATTTGGGCAGTCACGGGGCCAAAACCAGAGTGTGGAGCCACAGTGTGGCGGTGGAGGCAGCAGCAATGGGAGGCCATACAGCACCCTATGACAAAATGGAAAACCGCAGGAGTGTGAGGAGACCTCAAAGTGGCACATGGCAGAGTGGGAGCAATGGGAGGCGGTACAGGGACCCAGGTCACACTGTGGGACCAGCAGCAGCGTGACCAGGCGGTACGGGGGCCCATGGCCGATTTGGGGCCTGGCAGCACCTATGGGAGGCCTTTAATCTGCCAGCAACCTATGACAAAATGGAAAAAGAAAAGGTGTGAAAAAGGCCACTATTTTAGAACGGTAGTGAGGGTCCAACAAGGTGGACAGCCAAAAGTCATCCCTCTGTCTGATGGTTATTATTCGGCTGTCGCTACGCAAGCAACCGAGCATGCTATGGGCCATTTGCGCCAAGGAATGCGAGGGACTCCCTGCCTCCATCTCCACAGCATACTGCCACGGTGCGTCTGGGTCCTCTGTCTCCTCCTCCTCCTCCTCTCCCAGATGCTCCTGCTCCTCCACTCCTGTCCGCTGAGTGGAAAAACCACCCATTTCACTCAATAATTCCTGAGCACAAATGTCCTCCTCTACCTCCTCCTCTTCTTCCTGTCCTGCCCCCACAGGGGTCATGTAGCGTTGAGATCTGTGCGCCACGTCTACCGCACCCTGACCAGCCATTGTTAACAGCATTTGTTCCAGGACGTGCAACAGAGGAATGACGTCGTTCATCCCATAGTCCTGCCGACTCACGAATAGCGTGGCCTCCTCAAAGGGCCTGAGCAAGCGGCAGGTGTCACGCATGAGCTGCCAATGGCTGACATCGAAGTTACACAGGGGAGTACCTTTATCCGCTTGTAACATCAGGAAATCGGTGATGGCCTTTCGCTGCTCGTAAAGGCGGTCTAACATGTGTAGGGTTGAATTCCACCTTGTTGCAACGTCGCAGATCAGGCGATGCTGTGGAATTCCGTTCTGCCGCTGCAGCTCAATGAGGGTGTTCTTTGCGGTGTAGGAATGGCTGAAATGCATGCAAAGTTTACGTGACATTTTAAGGATGTCTTGCAGTGGGATGGTGGATTTTAGGAACCGCTTGACAACCAGATTTAACACGTGAGCCATGCATGGCGCATGGCACAACCTTCCTTGATGCAGAGCAGACACCATGTTCTTTCCGTTGTCGGTCAACATGGTTCGATTTTCAGTTTGCGCGGAGACAGCCATCTGTCGATTTCTCTGTTCATTACACTCAGAAGTTCCTCCCCTGTGTGACTACATTCGCCAAGGCATACCAGGTGCAGCACAGCGTGACACCGTTTGCGCCCTGCACATGTGATATGCCGGTCGGGTAATGGGACTTGGCACGGGTGTGTGCGGCTGAGGACACGGCGGAAGAAGGAGGTGGTAGAGGCGGACATGTTTGCTGGACCAAGGACGTGCAAACGTGGAGGCAAAAGCGTCGTGACCTGTCCAAGTTGCTAGTGCGGCTGTGCCGGCACCACGTTCACCCAGTGGGCTGTAAATGACATACTATATGGCGACGCTGCATATGCTGACGCAACGCTGTAGTCCCAACATGGGCCCCCTGGCCACGCTTGACTTTCTGGCCACATAGTCGACATACGGCTACGTTTACTTCCTCGGGCGGCTTGAAAAAAAAAATTTGCCACACATCCGAGTAGGAAACTTTGCCCCTGCTACTCCTCACTGGCTGACTGCTACTTCCTCCGTGCGCAACGGCACCACTACTGGCCGTGGTGGTAGGCTGCAGTGGAGCTGGTGCTCTACTCCGTGGACGTTTGGCTCCACTGACACCGATGCGACCCTGCTGCAGTCCTGGGCAACCCACCGACTTTGTTTTCGCTTGCTGCCAAGCTGGCACCCTCTTCTCCTGATGATGCGGAAGAAAATTACCCGATGACGACGAGCAGCCAAGTGCGATCAACCTACCTCATCATCAAGTAGGGTCTCCGCCTCACTACTAGCCCCCTCGGGCTGCGTCTGGGTCAGGAGACAGACCTGTCTCTAGACCAGCTACCGAGCCACTCTCCTCGCCAGTACTTCTTCGCCTGGCTGCTGAAAAGGCGGATGTCTCCCCCCGTTCCTGACCGCCTTCTGTTAGCTCTTCCTCACTGTACAGTGGGGCTGAGCCCACAGCATGCGATACTTCGCTTGGTGAGGGAACAGCAAAGGACAGGGGCAGGTAGGGAGGACGCGCGATTTCAGTGGGCTTGCTCCCGGGCCATGCCAAATAACGGTTGTTTCTGACGTACCCACCGACTGTTGGCTGTAGGTGTCAGAGGTGACCTGGGAAGAGGATGACGGCAGGGTTGTCGGTGGAGACACGACCGCTGGATGACACCGGGAGCACTGGCCTCTGGCTGCGACTAGTGCTGCCTCGACCCCTTCCTCTGCATGTTGTCTGACAAGTTACGGCTCCGTAGGCCCCAAGTTTACGGCTCCGTAGGCCCCAAGTTTACGGCTCCGTAGGCCCAAGTTACGGCTCCGTAGGGGCCCCAAGTTACGGGGGCTCCCGTAGGGGCCCCAAGTTACGGCTCCGTATGCCCCCAAGTTACGGCTCCGTAGGCCCCCAAGTTACGGCTCCGTAGGCCCCAAGTTACGGGCTCCGTAGGCCCCAAGTTACGGCTCCGTAGGCCCCAAGTTACGGCTCCGTAGGCCCCAAGTTACGGCTCCGTAGGCCCCAAAGTTACGGCTCCGTAGGGCCCCAAGTTACGGCTCCGTAGGCCCCAAGTTACGGCTCCGTAGGCCCCCAAATGATACGGCTCCGTAGGATCCCCAAGTTTACGGCTCCGTAGGCCCCAAGTTACGGCTCCGTAGGCCCCAAGTTACGGCTCCGTAGGCCCCAAGTTAAACGGCTCCGTAGGCCCCAAGTTACGGCTCCGTAGGCCCCAAGTTTACGGCTCCGTAGGCCCCACAAGTTACGGCTCCGTAGGGGCCCAAGTTACGGCTCCGTAGGCCCCAAGTTACGGCTCCGTAGGCCCCCAAGTTACGGCTCCGTAGGCCCCAAGTTACGGCTCCGTAGGCCCCAAGTTACGGCTCCGTAGGCCCCAAGTTACGGCTCCGTAGGCCCCAAGTTACGGCTCCGTAGGCCCCAAGTTACGGCTCCGTAGCCCCAAGTTACGGCTCCGTAGGCCCCAAGTTACGGCTTCCGTAGGCCCCAAGTTACGGCTCCGTAGGCCCCAAGTTACGGCTCCGTAGGCCCCAAGTTACGGCTCCGTAGGCCCCAAGTTACGGCTCCGTAGGCCCCAAGTTACGGCTCCGTAGGCCCCAAGTTACGGCTCCGTAGGCCCCAAGTTTTACGGCTCCGTAGGCCCCAAGTTACGGCTCCGTAGGCCCCAAGTTACGGCTCCGTAGGCCCCAAGTTACGGCTCCGTAGGCCCCAAGTTACGGCTCCGTAGGCCCCAAGTTTACGGCTCCGTAGGCCCCAAGTTACGGCTCCGTAGGCCCCAAGTTACGGCTCCGTAGGCCCCAAGTTACGGCTCCGTAGGCCCCAAGTTACGTGCTCCGTAGGCCCCAAGTTACGGCTCCGTAGGCCCCAAGTTACGGCTCCGTAGGCCCCAAGTTACGGCTCCGTAGGCCCCAAGTTACGGCTCGTTTAGGCCCAGGCCCCAAGTTACGGCTCCGTAGGCCCCAAG